AACACGATACCTAAGAGCACTTCAAACACACATCTACATACTTCTATTCACATCTATACACTTACTTTTACACAAATCTGAAAACCTCTACATACATCTGCACACTTCTACACACATTTACACACGCATATCTACAGACGTGTACACACACTTCTACACATATCTACACACTTCAACACACACTTACACATATCCAAAGACTTCCACACACACACACACACACATACACACACACACAACTACACACTTCTACACACACACACAACTACACACTTCTACACACATCTGCACATTCTACACACACTTTTACACGCATCTACACACTTCAGCACACATCTACATACTTCCGTAAACACTTACACATATCTTAAGACTTCCATACACACATTTCTTCACACTTCTACACACGAAATCTACACACTTTTACACACATCTACATACTTCTACACACATCGACCCACTTCTACACATACTACACACTTCTATACACTTCTACACACACACACACACACACAAACACACACACACATAAACATCTACATACTTCTACACACTTACTTTTACACAAATCTTTACACTTCAAAACACATTTGCACACTTCTACACACTTACTTCTACACACATCTACACACTTTTACGAATGCCTACACACTTCTATACATTTCTAAACACACACATCTACACACTTGAAGAATACACCTACACACTTCTACACACATCTGCACACTTACTTCTACACATATCTACACACTTCTACACACATCTACACACACGTACACACTTTTAACAAAAGTGCGGTACCGCATATAGATTATTTAAATAGTCTGACGATCTGATCTGTCCAAGACAACCACCAGTACGTGCAACCACATCCTATTTCCTCCCTTGAGTCTCGTTTTATATCATAATACATGTAGCACTTGCAAAGACATGTCTGGGACAACCACTTTTTTCCTTGACAAAGGGAGGCCGTCTTGGACAGTTTAGACTGTAGAGTACATACATACGCTCACGTATACGCACTCATACGCACACACACACATACACACACACGTTATATTCGCCCCTCTTTTCATCCATAGATCTTTCGAGAGATCAACCCATCCACACATTGTTGCTGTTGTTGTTGTTGTAGTGATTGTTGTTGTTTTAAACGAATTTCACGGGCAACTGTAACATAATCTGGCCAAATAAATGTCAAAAATTAAAGATGTTGCAAGAGGTACATACACAGGTACAAAGAAAAGAAAGGGAAGAAATAGGGACGACAGATGCTCAATAAGAAAGAAAGAGCAGTCCACACCATAGCGCCCGCCAACCACCCACAGACAGAACCGTGAACACCAAACGTACTAACATCGCAAATACAAGAACTTGCTATAGATCTAGACTCTGCCCCCTTTCAAAATAAGAGAGGTTCCACAATCAGTCTCCTCGATAAGAGACAATCGAACTCCTCACTGCGACCAGAGCCCAATGTAGGAGCGGCCTGTATAGTAATATGTTGCATGAACAGCCGGTCCCATCTACTTAGTTTATCTACTAGATAGTGACTGAGTGCCAGTGATTGGACGGAGGGAGGGGGTGGAGTTGGAAAGGGAGAGGAGACGGGAGGGGGGGTGAGGGAGGAAGAGAGAAGAGGCGAGAGAGAGAGGGAGAGAGAGAGAGGGGGA